CTGCTGGACAGGCCTCTGTGCGTTGTTGCACGTGCACGCCGAACCCTGAAGTGCTCTGTTACAATACCATGGTATCTGTCCAATTCTCTGCCATGACTATGGTGGGCTGGCCTCCTTACGTGGTACTAGTATTCTCGTCTATGCCGGCGACTCTTAGGACCGCGAACGACTGATTTTAGGAGTATGACTCGCTCGAATAGTGAAAAGTCAAACAAGAGGCCGGGCCGATTATCGATTGGCCGCGGTGACTTGGTGTCACGCGAAACGCGCGGCTCAAAGCCTATGTAGGTCTACGTATCTCAGGCCATCAGGGAGTTGCCCTGCTCGAAAAGCTCGTCTGACACCTGTCACACAGCTCTTTGGCAAAGTTCATTGCAAGGCCACAGATACGTAAGAAGAGCAGCAAAGTGCTGGCGTGATTCTGCTGTCACTGCCAGCGGTGGCAGCACTCTCGGACGGGCTCCAATCTCATCTTACGGCCGGCTGGATCGCTCGGCTCCAGCGAATATGTCCATGGCCGAAAGTGACAATGCCGGGAACGAACGGAACAAAATCTCTGTTCAGCGGTGGTGGCAATGTCGCGCTCTCCTCATTCAATCCAGGAATGACGCCAATATTGCCTCCTGGGCCAAAGATGGGGGAGCCGCTATGTACTTGTAGTACCTGCGGCGGTCAAATCCACTCGAGACGTGTTTATCACTGAATACCAGCACTGTACAAGTAGGGCCCCGCCCTCCCGCCAGAATTGCTGCGGAAACTGGCTCCATGGTATATGGCCTATCAGAGTGCAAGGAGACTGCACTCATCCTGTTGATAAAGCAGAATGAACCCAATTAAAGCCGCACTTACCCAGGGAATTCGCACACGTCAAGGTCTGGCAGGAAGAAACCCACCCGAACGCCCGGGATCAATTAGCGAGATACCAATATTGATCTTCATCTTGGGAATCTGCCAGAAAGCCCATCAGCAACTTGAATGGAGGCGCAACAATACTGGTGATGAGCGTCTCAAGAACTCTGGCAAACCGAGTGCGGATTTGCCTCAGATAGGACCGGGTCTTTGGCCACGGCAACGGCAGCACTCATTCTTTGCGGCGTGAATTCTGGTGCATCGGTTCCGCTGTCTGTACCACGTGGTATCTGATTCCACACATGCCAGTGGCGCGAGTAAGGGAGGAGTAATATTGTACACCCTTGCCGCCTACCAAGTTAGAAGACCTTTGGGATTTGCCACTGTCATTTAAAGTGTCATGCGGTCGCACAGTCAGCATTCCATGCAGTTGCCACTGTCATTTGAACCGTCACTCGCAGGCTGGAAGGGTCGCTGCGAAGAAGCCAGCACTTCGGATAGCATTGGGTTTGTCTGTAGTCGAGAACTACAGTGTGCATACGCTCGTCCTTGACGCCGGACGTGAGTAGGACTAAGTATAGTTAGTCCCTACCTACAAGAATTGTTGAACCGGGCCGTTCTTGCAAAGTTGATTTTTCATACATTCGGCCGTACTATCTGTTCTCCAGGCCTTGGGGGGAAATCTCTCAGGTTTATATGTAATGATTGCCACCGGTCTCACGGGCCACGGGGATGAAAGAAAGGAGTTCGTTTCGAGGTCGGGTAGCGATCCCCGGGGTCGCAGTGAGAGCGTACCAGGACAATGAATGGCAATAAGAGGGAATCCGTCATCGTTGTTACTCTGTACCATGACCATTTCAATTTGTGACAAATAAGACCACCGTCTACTTGACTTTGGACCAAGGACAAATCTTGAACAGCTCAGGCAGAGCCTCAAGTGGTTGTCGACAAGGGTCGACTGTCATGCTAAAAACCACGAGGTCGACCCAGGACAGTGTGGACCCAAGCAAGCCTCGAAGCCTTTCATCGACAAGGCCCAGGTAGTTTGCATAGATTTGAGCTGGTTCCGTCGTGAACAATGCTCCCAGTGAACCACAAGGCGACTTTTCGAACACCACGTCAGAGTCTGTGGAGGGAATGCTATTTGCAGCCTGCAGACTGTGGATGGTCATCGACGATGAGTCGACGTGGACCACGAAAGATGTTGAATCGAGTCTAGGCCTCCTCTCGGCCAGCCAACGAGGTTTGATCGGTTGGAAATATATCTAGTTCGTGGCATAGATCCATTCTCGCCACGGACACGACCATTTCGGTAGGATTTTGGGCAGTTATGTAAATTCCATATTTCGCCGAAAGGACTCAGCAAATGGGCAAGTGGGATCTCTCTACTCCCATCAAACTGGTCTGCCCACAGCATATCAACCCGAAAATAACATATTCGACCCAATCTTCAAACCACAGCGTGCACTGACCTTGGCTCACTGGATGGAGATCATGCCCAACGTTAAAATCTGTTGGCCACCCCTGCCTCTCCCTCGATTAGCGCGTCTCATTCGCAGCACGAGTACTAGCAGGAGGCTCACCCGTGCCTCGTTCTCCATGCGGCAAATCAAAACCAGCGGACTTGTGAAACACGAGTTAATCACCAACGTGTCGTCAAGAGATCCCTTCATACCGGGAAGTGCCACTGAGGAGGAAGAGGAGCCATTATTGAGATCCACACGGAACAGGCGGCAGACGAGAGGGTCACTGGGGTCACTGGCAAGGCGCAACGTGCGAAGGGCAGGTCTCTCGCCTCGATTGACCAAGAGGGACTTGCATTGTATTGTTGGTATTGAGTAGTTTGTTTCAGATCACTCCGACTCTCTCTGGATTTGCCTGCCACGCTAGAGTTTGCTATTCGGCGGTGCAAACGGAGACCGCAAAGCAATCGGCCCCAAAGTAAGACAAAGCCCTATCTGCCTAGGTACAAGCACTTAGAATCTCCAAGACGCCAATTTTGCAGATCTCGATGGAAACAGTCCTTTGACTCCAGGTGACCGGTGAGGCTGAGTGTCGGGCGCAACATGTGGAGCTGAAAATCCCCACACGTCGCATTGCACGACTGACCAAACGTTCGTGCAGCCCTAGAAGCAGGCAGCCGCATCGGGCTGAATCGAATGTTGTTGTTCGTATTCTTAGAGGTTAGAATCATAGCCTGGCTGCGCTGAGGCGATCTCAGGGTAGAGACTGGGGCCTGAAGCCGACGCGATGGTGCGAGAGAGTTCAGAACTTGGCAGCCAATAGAATGCCCAAGTCACCTTCGAGAAAGAACCATCCAAGGCGTCGCCGGTGCAACGCAAACTTGAGAAATGTGCTCCCCGAGTCCCTGCAAGCTTTGTCGCAGAAAGAGAGCCAGAATCGGAGCCGGAAGCCCTGGTGGACTCTCCTAGTAATTACGGGGTTGGAGCAAGAGGTCTCCGAACAATCGAAGGTGGTGGAAAATGCCTCATGCCAGCAATTTAGAGCACTGGTGGATTTTGGGAAACAAAACTGCTTCAGCATTTACTCGTCTGGTCCTTGGAGTCCGTAGCCTCGACTATCAGTCGCAATCTCCTCGAATCGACTCGTCTGCCACTTCTTCCAAAGGAAGATCTGTCTCTCGCTCTTGATGCCTCTCGCGCCCTGATGGTACACCACCGAGAAACCCCATTTCCTGCCCTTCCTGACCTTTTCCATATACCAACCCCTCTAAAATCCACAAGTGAAATCCAAAGTTGGATTGTCCCCGCCTCATTTTGCCGTAGGCCGTCCGTGTAATGCAAACGCTTCCTCTCGCAGGAAGCCAAAGTCTCCACTCATCATATTTAACACACGTGTCGAATTTATTCTTCTCTGTAAACAGCCCAGCCATCGTCCTCCCCGAACCATGCTCTCGCCAGACCTGCGCCGCTTTCCGTGGGCTGACTGAACGCCACTTGCTGTTGCTCAATTTCCATTCCGTAGATGAATTGACTCATAACACACTCTAGAAGATTGTTTGCAATGCCCTTGTGACGGAAAGCCTTGCTCGTCCAAATACGGCTGACGCCCACTACCGCCGGATATGTCTCTTCGGAAATGCTGATGCTCGATGGACGCGATGTAGAAGTGGGGCTTGCAATCGGGGTCGGAATCTGCGGTCTCTGCGGAAACTGGCTGTGATCCTCCTCGTTGGTCTCGGTCGCCGCAGGCGATGCGGGCCCATTAGGGTTGAAGTGACCATTCAGTGGGATGGTCACGCTGGTCGCGGTCTCGCACGGTAGGACTCGATGAGCCTTGGTGATTCGCTCTGCCAGGCAAATGCCTACACACTTGTCGTCGATAACGTGCAAGAAAGCCTTGAATCTGTCACATTTACGGCCACCCGATTCCTCATCCTTCTCGCCATCCGGGACACGCTGGCTCCACAATTCCTCCTCTTTGATGTCCACGCTCCCGAGCTCCTTGTTAACAATTCCCAGCACTTTCTGGACCACTCGTCGACTGGGGAGTGCCATCTTTCGATCCACCACCACAACGCTCCCTTGGATATGCGAGACTTGATAGCACCAACGCATTGCCGACTTAAGGAATGGTTTTCCGAGTTCAATCCCCGAGCTATCTCGGTTGTGATACATGTTGTGTAACTGGGTATCTTCTGGCAGTGAAGGCGTGTATGACATCTGACATTGCGGACATGTCGTAGGGACAAGCGGCTGACCCAAATCGAGGATCGTCTGGACGAGTTTCTGTTTCGGCGGCGCGATCTTCGGAACCCGTATTGTCGGCCACACTACCGACGTCCTCTCCAGAGCCTGTGGTGGGAGCTGTTCGTTTTCCAAAGGCTGCGAGCTTTGGGCGCGTGAACTGGAGTTGTAGATCTCTGATAGAGGCTCGGAGTCGTGACGCGTACTTCCAGGCCTACCAGGTCCGCTCGACTGCTCATCGCGTTTCCGCTTCGCGTTCTTGAGATCCTTCTTCTCTTTCTTGGGCTTGCCGAGGAACGAGAACACAGGCTTTCGCGCCTTGACATTGAGTGGTGTGAGGTGCAAACTGGGCGGTGGCGAGGACGGTGGGGTGATGGTACTGGAGCCCAGGTCGTCTTCATGAGACTCTGCGGAAAAAATGGTGCTGTTCTTCCGAGAAGGAGAGGACGACAGAGCTGCGACACTTGTTTCTCGAATGGCGCGTTCAAGACTGTCTTCGAGATCGAGAGGGTGGGTTATGTTCTCGTTAGAAGCTGCGGCAGAGGGCGCGTTCCAGGTATCGTGGAGACAAAGGCGCTTCGGTGGACGATAGTCTTCGCCATCCCAGGCACGCCGCACGTTGCGGCTGTAGGTACGCATGAAGAGACCCCTGGTACGAGGAATCCAAGTTAGTCCATTATCAGTGCAGGGGTCCCGGCAACATTATCGAGAACATACCCTTTGTAGCTGTTTGTGACCGTGTAAGGATAAACGACAGGCGACATTGTCGCGTCAAAAGAAGGCGTGTCAGTTTAACTCGGACAGGTCAACGGATGCACCAAGGTGTAGCTGAACGAACACTGAAATATAATAAGTTTAAAATGGTTGCGAGGAGTTGCAGATGTTTTGGAGTGAGAAACGGGGGACGCGTCTCTTCGGGATAGCTTTGGATTAGCGGGCGACGGGGGAACGGTCTCGGGTTGACGATGCGAGCCGGGGGGTCTTTGGGATAGTGGACAATAATAATGGATGCGGTGGTGGTTTCGGAAGATTGAGGACTAGGCCTTAAACCTTTGGGCTTTTGAGCTTGTCTGGTGCTGTTCGGCAACAATTGCGAGGGGCTCGAGGTAGCTTTGACAAGTATGGCGCTGATGTAGCTTTGGCTGAGGCCTTGTAGTTGGTTCGGTGGGTGGGTGAGAGTCTGAGAGAGTCCAGTTAAGACCCAAGGGGCGGGTGGGGGGGAGGGGGGGACCTTGTGGGCTTGGCCGCTTGGGGGGCAAATAACTTTGGAATCTCGCCGATTCCTTCCTTTGCTGCAATGCCTGACTCTGGCTTGCTCTGACTTGCTCTGGCTCTGGCTCTTGCACGGCCCAGCCAAGCGAGCGAACTTGTGCACCCTGGCCGCCCTTGACTTTCACACCTTCGGCAGAGCGGGTTCGCGGTGCTGACTGATCTGCTGGTTTCTCACGGCAGCGATCCTCAAACAGTCAGAGTGTCGCTTCCTTCCCACTTCTTTTTTAGGCTGAACAGGGGGGTCGAATAGGAGGTGTGCCCAAACAGAGACAAGCCGTTGGAATTTCTGGGGTTCGAAGGCTGCTGACAGGTACGAAGCGAGTACTCGGTACGTACCCTCTAAGGGCTCGAAGCTGAACAGTGAGGATGACAATCGACGGGTCGAGAATAAAGGGTGCTGTCAATGGGAGACCATGAAGGCGGCAAAGTATTAAGTAGGCAGGGGCGTTACTTCCAGGATGATCAGGTGCCGAGCTCGTGATAAGTCGCTCAACTGGTGATTCGAATACAAGGACAATGCAAGTACAGCGAACACCACCGAACAACCTTTTGGGGAGTCCGTACGAGAGTGTGTGCGGAAGTTATGTGGCTGTATGGCTGTATGGCTGCGGAAATGGAAAGGTAATGACTGATAAAGGTTCAGGGCCGCTTTCGTTGGGGGGAGGGAGTCAGGGTGACGAGGTTGAGACAGGGGACAGAGACAAAGGCAAGGACAAGAATTAAGAACAAGAAATAAACTGTACTTGTTATGATTTGACCCCACGGCTGATCTGATGGTGGATGATGATGATGATGGTGGTGGTGATGATGTGAATGAGTCTTTGTTGTTGTGCTCGAGAATCTAAAATCAATCATTCACTCGACCCGGACCGCCATCACTTTGTTGGTAAACATCAGAGAGTTCATTGTTCTCGCCCTCACCCTCACTCTCACCCTCACCCTCACTCTCACCCTCACCCTCACTCTCACCCTCACCCTCGTTCGCGTTAGCCCCTGCTCTCCTGTTGCTTGCTTTTGCCTTCGTCTCCTGCATAACCTGCGGCTAGACCTGAGCGAAGCCGCTCTTTCTGCCCTACGAGATCTCAGGATTGGAGACGATTTCGCCCTGCAAGCTGGTCTCCTCCGTCGCCATGGTTGTCATGCCCACAATCCGCCATCCGCCATCCTCCTGCAGCCTGTACCTCGTGTCGACCACCCTCGCTGTTTTCGTTGGTCAAATCAACACTCAAGGCATTCAAATAGAATGGCCCAGTCCAGCCGCCTAAAAGTGCCTCACAGCCAATACCCAAGCACCGCCCCAACTCCCTCGAGAGGGATCCATCGCAGCAGCCACGAATCACGGGAGGCCGTAGTCGACAGGTCAACAGGGATCTTGGCCCAAGCAAAGAGAGACATCGCCACCGTCGAGGTCCTTACCGGGGTAGCGGCCTCGTTTTTGGTGACCCTCTGGTGCCCTCTGCTCTACAAGTTGCTGAGGGCTGTCAATCGAAATCGTAATCGCCCAACCAAATTCCTAACCGCGCGAAGCCGACTATTCCTGCCCATCCCTGTCCTCCGCCCAATGGCGGTCAATTCTACGGATACCCAGTGCTGTGAAATGCTCGTGTCTTGCATATGCCTGAGAACGGTGAGGAAAGTGAGCCTTGGTTGGTGGATATCCTCTACACTTGAATCACGGCGAAAGAGAACCAAACACACAGTGGTACCCATCGAGGAGACACTCAGATTACCACACGCCCGCCCCATGACTCCCTTGTGATTCGTCGGACATACTGGGGAAGGATCCTCTCTTCTGTGTTGGCTCAATGTCTTGTTGCCAGATATCAGGCAGATCTCTAACTGGTAAGCCAGGCCGACAGACAAGCACAGAAGTAGCTCGGGCGCCTGTGATCCAACAAATCATCCTCTTGTGTGCCGTCACTGTGACCGGTGCACTGTGTTCCTCAGTTGGCGGGAGCAGCCAATCGTGTCTAACCATTCATCATACCCTCGATGGGTTTTGTGACACGTCAGTAGCCCAATACAGCCGACTTGCAAAACTGGGTCACCGCTGAGCACTTCAAACAGCGCTGTGGTTGCCTTCCCACGACAATAAGATGGGATTGATGATTGCCTAAGTCACCCCTCCCGATATCGAACGGCTTCATGGACAGGAATAGTGGCGGCATCTGACAGGGATGCCGGCATTTACAGTGACGGAGGAACCGGCTCGACCCGGCTCGACGATATCGTTCACACGCAGACGCAAGGAGAAGGAGGCTGTTTGTACACCAAGTCTCTAAAATCACCTGAAGAATAAATTCCAGGGTAATGGTCACTGCGGTCTCTGGGCAACAAAAGTGATGCAGGTTTTACAAAAGGCATCACGGAGCGAGCTGCCTAACCTTCGACCTCGATCGCGTGCCAGTGGGCCATGTCCAGAAAAGACGGCCGGGCACCCGGGCCCAGTCATCAGTACGTAAACATGTACCGTGGGTTTTCGTCACCCGTTTCCGCAATCTCTTCCTCTGTCTTCCCAGCCATCTTTGAATCTTCCTGCCCGTCTCGGCGACTCTTGTTCCGGCCAAAGAAATAGACTCCCATCGAGGTGTATATTAAACCGGCCATGGCAACCATCGACAGTGACACTGCATGCCCGCGGACATATCGAGGAGCCTCATTGGTTTTATAGAGCTTCACAGCTTCGTCAGTATCAAGTTCTCAAGAGAAAATTCACTGTTCGAAACTCACAAAAGGAGCCATTATACCGGCCGCATTTCCGATCTACGGATCAATGGTTAGTCTATGTGAGAATGACTAGGGCTCAAGACAATGGATCTTCCAAAGCGCAGCACATCCTTTCGAGGCGGGGTTGGACTTACAGTAAGTTGAATACCGCTTGCAGTTGTCCGTTTGCCATACCGAGGTTGATCTATCATCGCGAATCAGTTGCTGTACGGTAGAAGCGGGAGGGAAATAAAGCCTTACTTGACGGCAACCACGCAAGAGGGATCCCAACTGAGACGTAGAGCCCTATTGCTACCATGAAGCAGCCGAAATAATGGACCCCGGGGCTCACATCTGCAATCAGAATGGCATATCCGATGATGCTGACCACACAGAAAGGAACCACGGCGAGGCCTCGATGTTGGAATTTATCGGATGCCCAAGCGACAACCAAGTAGGTGATTGCCCCCAACGCATAACATGGCACAGTGAGTGCCTGCGTCTCGGCGGTGGACCATTTCCCCAGCCCCTTGATGATGGTGGGCAGGAAGGTCGAATACCCATAGAGCATGGTGTCGACGCCAAATTGGCCAAAGGCAAACATCCACACCTTCCAGTCCTTGAGGGCCTTCATCACGTCTTCCTTATGGAGCAAGTCTCCTGACGTCGTATGCCCGATATGGCGTCGCTTTCGCACAACTATCAATTCTCTCTCTTTTTCAGACAGGTAATATGCCGTCTCTGGGGCGTCGGCAAGCCAGAAATAGACAATAATTCCCAACACGACGCTGGGAAGGCCCTCTATAATCATGATCCATCTCCACCCAGACTGGCCTGCCACGCCGTCCATGAAGCCGATTCCGTAGGCCAGTAGGCCACCTACACTTCCAGCCAAGGCGGCCGAGACAAACAGATAGCCGACTCTGAGCGCGATCTCCTTTTTGGTGTAGAACAAGGTGAGATATATTGTCATACCTTGTACAAGTCAATTCTCCCCTACTCATATATCCGACATGTTTCAGCTATTCGTTACCTGGGAAAAGTCCTGCCTCCAGAGCGCCCATGAGCAAGCGGCAAGCGATAAGCCCTCCGTAATTCTGGACGACGCCTGTCAAAGTAGCAACAACGCCCCATCTGCATGGGAAAGTGTCAGTATCAGTGTCCCTTCTCCACGGCGATTGAATGGTGAGAGATTCTCTCGGCTTTAAGCCACGTTTTCTGCTTCTTCGGAAATACATTTGGTTTCTTATCCCAAGGCCCACAACATCCTGCAAATATCAAATGTGGGATGGTAGGGACTTACGCAAAGGCAATGAACGCAATCCACCGACTTGGCCTAAGCCTCTTGATAACGAGATTGCTCGGAGTCTCGCAGAGGATATATGTCACGAACAACAGGCTCACAGCTGTTTGATACTGTGACCCGTGAAGTCCTAAGTCTTCTTCCATGTGATACAGCCGCGCATTGCCGATGTTGACTCTGTCCAGAAAGGAGACGAGGTAGAGTAGCATGGTTGGCGGAACGATATAGCAGTCGAGTTTGCGGATCAAGTGTCGTTCAGCGGCATGATCGATGGTCGGCAGGGAGTCGAGGTCTTCTTCAGTGACGATGTTGGTACCATGGTCGCGCTCCGTCGCGGCATGCTTCTCGGGGTCGAGAATTGCGACGGAATCTGCGTGGCGTGTAGGGCTGGAGTCACTGCTCGCACCCATCATTGTGAAGGAGTCAATCAACTAGAGCCTGGAGTTGAGGAAGTGGTCGAGAAAAAGGGTTTCGAGACTGTCCAATTGTCCAATATCCGGCTGCTCGAAATTGTCCTACAAGCGTGCTCAGCGACGGTAAACAATATTGCTTTTGGCCTCGATGTAAAGTTGCCTGTCACGAAGCGTCACAATTATCTCCTACAGCCGTGATTCCCAAAGTCAAAACCAGCGTGAGGTCCCGGCCAGGATGTATGTCCAAACCAGAGTGCCAAATATCCATAGTGTGTGCAGTGAGGATTGGGGGGGATTCCCAGGTCCTTATCTCTCTCTCGTGGTATCTGCACCTGCCAATCCTAGTGCGAATTTCCAGCAGTGACGCCTGGCTGATGCTACTACCACCACTGCCGGTCGGCATATCGATCAGCGAGCGGTTGCGTGCAACGAAAACGTGGAGGATTATCAGGGACCCTTGCAAGCCTTGCTTGGCCCTGATCCCAAGTAACGCCAGCCCAGGGGCTTGGCACTAGATTGGGGCTCGTGGTTGGCTCAACTATAAGGGTTGTGGAGACATGATGTGGTGGAGGATCTGCAGGGTGGCGTCCAAATAGTTCTTAGCGCGACGTCATACGGAGTATCACGGAGAATTCCCGACATCAGAACCAGTTCGACCTTGACCTTGCACGAGAAATATATCCTGCGAGCCTGGCGAGACGCCGGAATGGGCACGGCAAAGACCATATAGAAAAGGGGCGGTGCTTGGCTACTAATAAGTCATCGCTGCCACGGGACCGCCACTCCCAGAGCTGAGCCACACGATGCGCCTGTTGAACAACTACAATCAATGTGAAGGTCTTGTAACATGGGGGCGGATGCCTGGCCTTCATCATATCCACTCACCTCGACAAACATCTATCGCGCTAGGTTTGTTGCCCAAGGCGAGGCGCCAAGTGCTTCGTTCGCACACCACGGATGGAAAATTCTACTTATTTGTCGACACCTGTGGGAATAAGGGAGAAAGAAGAAAGCCTTTGTTACATGGACTCGAACTGCAGCCTTCTGGCGAAAGAGCAAAAATACAACTTGTAAGAAAACCCTGCGACGGGGATTTTTGTTTTGAGTCCACATTCGGTTGGATCCAAGCGATTGCTGCTCCCACCGATAGCTTGTTCTCCATACTTTAAAGCTCCTACACATTTCTCTTTGAGGAGGAGAGGAGAACCACTGTGATCATGTCTGAAGTCATCATATCTACCGACTTAGGGAGTTACCAAGTAGAGCTCCTACTTTTCAATGATACCTGGCTGTTCACTTATGGCTGCGAGTTAAGGAGATGAATGAAGATTAGAGGCTTTATTGCTTGCACCATTTCACCGGTGGAATGATGACAGGAATCCATGGAAAAAAGATCTATGTTCATGACCTCTGAGGCGTGGACTGCTAAGTATTGCTTGGCAGGCGAAAGATGCTGTGCACGGGGAACGCCCGAGTCAAGAATGTGGCTATCTGCAGTGAATGCACGTGGGCTATTACGTTACGAGTGTCAGACTGAACCGAACTAGCTTCATTCTGAAGCTGTTGTTCATCTACAATCCGCGGGATCATCAAAAAGAATCATGCTACGAAGCAATTCTATCCCGGTCTCCGAGCTCGTCGCTGATACGAACAGATGCAAGGCAGACTCGATTCTCTGAAGGCGCAGGCGCCCCTGGGTCCTGCTTTGAAATACGCAACCCAAGCCCGTTTCCAAACCTCAATACAGAATCCGATTACCTGGAACGCGAAGTCAGACCTAGTTAAAGTGCATATAGAACTAGGGTTCGGAGTCAGTTCATCTATTTGGTTCAGAACTATATCTGTAGGCCGAAGGCCGTGTTTCAGCAGATATGCTCGAGAGTCATGTGATTACTATTGGATTCTTGCCTGGCGTGGGTAGCAAATGGCTTGTCTAGGAGTAGAGGGGTGTTCTGAGGAGGAATGTTGATCTTAAGAATACAGAGAAGAAAAGGTTCAGTGGAGACATCGGAGGTCTATCTGGCCGGGGGGCTTGTCCAGCTCTGCCCTGCCACCCACAACGGAGAGCAAACTGGTGGCCTTATGCCATTGATAACTTGTTGCCGGTTTTCCTCGGAGGGTGTTACTTCACTTTTGGGGCCTTAGCATGGTCGATGTCGACACCAAGGACATACACTGCCTGGGGGGCGATGCCTTGGCGAAGAACTCGGAATATCTGAAAATGGGGCATACGGCTCTTGGGAGAAGGACTGTTTCCTACGTACATCGTTGACGACCTCTGGCTAGCGTTTTGACAATTTTGGGCAAAGCTGAGGCATCCTGCTAATTTGGTTTGTACATATGTAGAATCGGATACGGGGAACACGATGGAGTTAATAGAAAGGGAAAAATATGGGGTACAGAGTTCATTTTGTACGATCCTACCAGACCTACATAGTACTTACATGAGTAAGCAAGGCTGTGGCTATATGTGAATGAGGCTGAGCACAGGGCAACACGGGAGCGGCCCCCAAAACCTTCCGTTATTTCTCCGACAGGCGTCGCGTCATCAGCAAAACATTGCGCAGGGTGGAGTTTATTTTGGCCTACGAAACATCAGGCTCCAAGGCTTCAAGATTCACATTTACCCATTTGTCCATTGCTATCGCCACAGCTATGCGCAGTCTATCGTGCAGGCATCACCCATAATGCTGATTCTATCCTTTCCGTGAATTGAAGTGCCCTTTTCCATTCACGGGAAGTCTGAGAACTAACAACTTCCTCTGCTCTACCTTTCCTTCGACTCTACTCGCAGCCATCGGCGCAGTTTTTTTGTCGCGGCGTCAAGACCATCAATCTCAATCCCCCAGACACACATGAATACACCCGTCGAAGCTCAATCTATATCCTCGCTGAATAATTTGCTTGCGAACCCACCACGCTACCCGAGGAATCCGACTCATGAGGTCCATGATGCGCTTGTGCTCTACATTGTTCGGGTTCCAGGCAGCAAAGGTGAGAGGAGGACTGGAATCATAGAAGAGAAGGACAAACATTGAGTTCATGTAGATGTATTCCTCACGCCACTGAAGCCACCGACCAAGGCCTCGATAAGTATCGAGGCTGTTCAGTCGAGTCTATATTTCCTTCACGTTGAAAGACCTGAAGATGAGGCGCTGAGGAAATCACTGGAAGCCGCACAGGCCACAGAGAGTCGCAGCCATGACGTCCTGCCAGTACAGAGGAAGCCTCTTCCCCCTACGCCTTATGCGAATTATCCTGCTTCTCAGAGACCTCCGACTCCCCCTAAGAGCTACCCTCATTACCAACCGCCCTTACCAGAGTCAAAAACTGCCACCCAAGCAGAGCGTTATGCTGCGCGTGGAACTCATCTCAGGCTAACTACTAGGGACAATCTGAATGCTCTGGCTTCCAGCAAACCTGTTGGCGCCCGATCAATGCCTTCAACGACGCATGGCTGCGACGACGGTCTATCCCCAAGCCCAATCGAAGATGCGCAAACGCAGTTCAGATTGGCCAGGAAGCCAGTTCAGCCGGTGTTTCTGGCTGATCCTCATGAACTTAAGCGCTCAGATACTGATCAGGGATCGCCGATGGGTTCTGGACCTGACCGTTCTTTTCAGCTTTCTGCTGCCCCGTCTACAGACCCCATGGCTGCTAATGCACGGTCTGGCGTGTTGCGCATTACCCTGATCCGGAGAGACCCCTCCTCTGGTAGTCAGTGGAACGTGGGTAGCATCGTTCAGCAAACCGCAGAAGCACCTTTGCGGAAGGTTGATATTGAGCTCACTTCTCCAGGTTATAACAAGTTCGTGCAATTGGAAGCTGGTGGAGGCGCCGGGTTCCGCAGAAAGGTTGCCTATATGCAGACATCTAGCGATGATGGATCATTTTTGGCGAGGAGGAGGGGCGATTCTACGGAGTCCTTTTCAAACGCGTCTCATTCATTCAGCCGCAAACCCAAGCAGTCCTACGCTTTCATTTCGCCATGGCAAGGGACGTGTGCTTTCGGCAATGGCCTGGATGGGAAAAGCCTACGATGTCGGCATTTCCTTCCGGGTGCGAATCCATCCATGCCAGGCGTAAGTGCAGATATTGCAGAACTACGGTTCAATCTGCCATGGGCATCGCTTCGTTTGAAGGATCCGAACAAGAAGCAGGCGAATCACATTCCCGAGTTTTCTCACGACACATCTGCCACCCGCCCGGGAACTTCTTCCAATAGGGAGCAATGGAGGCGAAGCTTCCAAATCTTGACGCATAGAACTCGAAAACAGCTCTCGATCAGCGACAGCAATGGCAATGAATCTTCATTGAAAAATTCCACGGAGGACCCGACACAGCTCGACAAGTCGAGCGAGCAGATTCGAATGAGCCTTGACCTTGGACGAGAGAAGGCTGGTGGAGGGTTCAAAGGCCATAGCGCTAAGCTGGGCAAGCTTATCATCAATGACGAAGGTTTGAAGATGTGTGATTTGGTAGTCGCTGCGTGCATGGGCGTCTGGTGGCAGCATTATGCCGGAGATGTCTCGTCTCACTGAGTGTTTCGTGGGTCAGCTCCGATTGGATAGATTGAGGCGGAAGTCGTCATCTTGGCTAGCAATGAGTGAACTTGATGACCTCTTCTTCTGATTGTAGACAGGGTCTTTGAATCCTTCTTACTTTGGGATGGATGAGGCCTCCCTTATGCATGTTACAGCCTCGCCATCCATCAGTAATAATCCACGGTGCTAGCAATTTCAGTTTTTGGGTGCGGGGAGGCTTGAAAAGGAGTCCCGCCTTGGCGGTTTCCCGATGTTGACGTTCTCCACCGGTGGCTGTCCAACTGCGCATGGCCGACGGGTTGCTTAGAAGGTGATCACTCACTGTATTTCAGAATCAGCGCCAGTCCCTCGAACGTTTTACCTACAGCGCCGGTGCGTGTGCACATGAGAAGCATTAACAGTGGTGCAGTTTTGGCGACAGCTCCCCGCCTCGCCATCGACTTTTCCTGCCAGCTCTTCCATCCAATACGAGACCGCGATATTGGCACGACTGCTCGAACTCCCGTCCCCCAGTCCTCGTGATTGAAATCGTCCGATGAAAGAGATGCGTACACAAAAAGGATGACAAACTGTATCTGAGAGCAACTTCAGCGGCGGAAGAGGAGGAACTGTGGTGTTTCAGTTATCCCTATCTGCTTGCCTTCTCCGCCTGCTCCTATTGCCATGGCAGAGACGGCTGAGATGAAGCAAAACCCCATGGGTCTTGGGGCAGCAACTGATCGGGGGAGACTACAAGGGAAGAGTGCGCAATTGCAACCAGCATTCCAGGCCGCCCTCAAAGTCAATGGGGAACCCGGCCCTGCAATCCTTTCCAACACCCGATCAAGCAACACTCCCGCCGCTGGCCCAACCCCTTCAGGCTCGACTCCACGAGACACTTCCCCTGACAAACTGACTGCCTTCTCCACGGCATCGGGGACGTCAAGTGTCTTGAAAAAAGGCTATGGCTCTGGATCCAACCTCGCCCGAAGCGTGACGAACGAACAATCGTCCAGCGCGAGAGAACCCGCTGACTCGGACAATGCCTTGCCAAGCAATGGGACACCCACGGCAGGCAGAAAAAGTGTGCAGTTTTCTCGAGACACCCAAGAGATCAGCCCTCATAGCAATGGCCACACCACGCCGCCAGCTGGCCGAGGAGATAGTTCAGATCAAGACAAGCCTCACTCCTTGTATGCTAGGTTAAGGGCACTGGCTATACCTCAGGGCTATTCGTTCAGTCACAGTCGGTCTCCGAGCGGCCTGTCTGCGAGTGGGCGTTCTGTTGAGGGGAAGGATGTCGATTACCAATTTCCTACACAATCTGGTCGTAATGAGACAGGGCTCGCCGCAACCTTGGAGGAGGATAGCGGCGCTGAAGCCGACGCCGATGCGGATGAAAGTAGTGCTGCAGAGAACAGCGTGTCACAGTGGGCGACTCGGAAACGCCGGCGGAGAATACAACGCTTTGATGACATTGAAACCGCGCCATCATCTCCCCACAGTCTTATGCGTCCAGGTTTTGCAAGTGCTCCCATCAACTCTGATGCGGAGACGGACAGGCCTCGTATGCTGATCAGAAGAGCCACGGATACCGATATGATCAACAGCACCCAGGGTGTCTCCGAGGACGAAGGACGCAAACAGCTCACTAATAACAGTGGTTGGACACCTCGTCATCCTCTTCGTGGTTTAAGCTATGGTGGTCAAAGAAAGACAGGTGATACTACACCAGAGGGTCTAAGAAGGCCTTTGACCCTCTTGAATTTTTCCGGCATCACTTCCTCTCGAGAAGCTGGTTCAAGCGAAGCGCAAACTCCTAAAACACCCTCTCGCCGAAAGATGCTGGCCGAGCGAAGTTCAACCTTGAGTGCTGCCAAATGGAGGCAACTTAAGAACAGTTTGAAGACGCTGGGCCAGAGTAGGAAGAAACCCCCGACTCCCGAAGTCCAGAGATCAGCTGCCCTGCTCGCTGAATTGGCTGCCGGAGCTCCTGCGGCTCTGATGCTTGCCAGTATGTTCCAGCGTGACGAGCATAATCACAGGAGGGTGCCGGTGCTTCTGGAACAGCTCAAGGTCCAGGTCACGGACAGCGAAGTCGACCAGCACAAAATTAAGGACGAGAAAGCAACCAGGGAGGATGACGAGGACAAGGTCCTACGGCATCTGATCTTCAAGATCGAATGCGAATATGGTAACGGTGCGAATCGGATGAAATGGGTCATCAAACGATCGCTTGGGGATTTCATTAAATTGCATTTGAGATATAAAGCCGCCTATAACACTGGGAGACTTAGATTAAGAAGCGACGGGCGCAAGAAGATGCCAAAGTTTCCTTTGGAGGTGTTCCCATATCTGAAATCTTTACGACTATTCGCCGATGAAGGTGATGACGAAGAGGCTGACGCCGGTGACGATACCGAACCAGGCACTGCAACAGACACGGAAAGGCCAACTCCTCGAAGCCAGACTCGACCTGGGATCCCACCAGGACGACGGAAGTCGAGCGTGGCAGGACTTCACGATCCTATAACTCCCGGGGGCACACGTCGAGAGATTTTTGCCGAGCGCCAACGCAAGACTCTTGAAAAGTATTTGCAACAGATGATACAGTTTATGCTGTTTCGTCCGGAGAGCAATCGTTTGTGCAGGTTTTTGGAAATATCGGCTCTTGGTGTGCGTCTTGCTGCTGAGGGTAGCGAGCATGGCAAAGAAGGGCTTTTGCTCATCCGATCGGCTAAAGGGCTTGATTTCAGAGCCTTGAACGCCCTCGAGTTTAAGAAGCGACATACTCCGAAGTGGTTTCTGGTCAGACACAGTTATGTCGTCTGTGTGGATTCAGCGGAGCAAATGCATATATATGATGTGTTTTTGTTCGATTCGGACTTCACGATACAGTCCCGGAGGTTGCGGTCGAGCGATCAGAGAAGTGCCAAGGAACTGGCAGAGGCAGCAAAAGAATCTGCAAAACATCCACAACACCATCGACTGAAATTGGTCAACTCGGAAAGAAAGTTGAAACTCATCTCTAACAACGAACGCCAGTTACAACAATTCGAGGAGTCCATAAGAGAAATGGTTGCGGGATCACCCTGGGCAAAGATCAACAGATTCGACAGCTTTGCTCCAGTAAGACCGAAATGCTTTGCCCAGTGGCTTGTTGACGGCAGAGACCACATGTGGGTGGTATCTCGCGCCCTAAACCAAGCCAAAGACGTCATTTATATCCATGACTGGTGGCTCAGCCCGGAGTTGTATATGAGGCGCCCTCCTGCTATCAGCCAGAAATGGCGTCTTGATCGATTGCTGAAGAGGAAAGCCGAAGAGGGGGTCAAGATTTTTGTGATTGTCTATCGCAACATCGACGCCGCTATTCCAATAGACTCTCAGTACACCAAATTCTCTCTCTTGGATCTCCACCCGAATATATTTGTGCAGAGATCACCCAACCAATTCCGACAAAACACCTTTTTCTGGGCGCATCATGAAAAGATATGTATCGTTGACCACACCGTAGCCTTTGTCGGAGGTATTGACTTGTGCTTTGGCAGGTGGGATACTCCTCAACACACACTTGTTGATGACAAGCCCACCGGCTTCGAGCCGAGTGACGAACCCAAGGACGCAGACCATTGCCAACTGTGGCCGGGAAAGGACTACTCTAATCCACGAATACAAGACTTCTATGCGCTTAACAAGCCATACGAAGAGATGTACGACCGATCAAGGGTAGCCAGAATGCCGTGGCATGATATTTCAATGCAGGTTGTCGGGCAACCGGCTCGTGACCTGACTAGACATTTTGTCCAGAGGTGGAACTATATTCTGCGGCAGCGCAAACCAACACGTCCGACGCCGTTCTTGCTTCCCCCTCCAGACTTTAATCCAACTGACTTGGAAGCGCTTGGTCTCGATGGAACATGTGAAGTCCAGATTTGCCGCTCCGCCGGGCCTTGGTCACTAGGCACTCCGGACAAGACGGAACACAGCATCATGAACGCCTATATCAAGCTGATCGAAGAGTCTGAGCATTTTGTCTATATTGAAAATCAGTTTTTTATCTCCAGTTGTGAGACGGAAGGCGCAACGGTACACAATAAGATTGGTGATGCGCTTGTCGAACGTATCACTCGTGCCAGCAAGAACGAGGAGGCTTGGAAAGCTGTGATCATCATTCCATTGATTCCTGGTTTCCAGAACACGGTCGAGGAGGAAGGCGGGACGAGCGTGCGATTGATTATGCAATATCAATATCGCAGTATCTGTCGTGGAGAATCATCCATATTTGGTCGATTGAAGGCTGTTGGCGTCGACCCTGAAGAATATATCCAATTCTACAGCCTTCGCCAATGGGGTAGAATTGGCCCACGCAAGACCCTTGTGACCGAACAACTCTACATCCATGCTAAATGTATGGTGGTTGATGACAGGGTTGCATTGATCGGGTCCGCGAACATCAATGAACGATCATTGCTGGGAAATCGCGATTCCGAATGTGCGGCTATTGTGCGTGATACAGATATGGTCTGGTCAACGATGAACGGCAAGCCTTATCAGGTTGGTCGGTTCCCGCATACACTCCGCATGCGTTTGATGCGTGAACACCTTGGCCTGGATGTTGACAAAATCATGGAAGACGCACAAGTCATGGAAGCAGAACACAACAAAGCACAGTCATCAAGGAAGTCAGTCCGATCAGAAACCCCAGAGGACGCTTTTGGCAGCACCCTTTCTGAAGTGGATGACGTGCTAAGTCCGCTGCATGGGCAAGATACAGAACTGCATGAAGAATTGCTTCAACGCACTGAGGAATTTCGGAGCTTCAACCACGACGTGGACTGGGAGCAACAGGGCAACCCAAATCTCAAATCGAAGCGAGCCGGCGTGACTCAAGACCCACGCGTGACCGGCGATCCTCACCACAGGCAAGATGTAGAAGGACACGGATATGACAGGATGGCTGAGATTGCCGCCAAAGGATTTGGGGATGGAAGAGACAGCACACTTGTCAAAGGGAA